GTCGTTGCCATCCGGGCGCAGGTTAAAGCATTCAACGCTGAGAAAGGAAAAACCACAGCCCCCCACAACAAAGACCCGATCGTGGTAGTAGGCGATTGCAGGAGCTACACGTCTTTCCAGCATCGGTGTAAGTTCCCGCCACGTCCAGTACTCATCGTCTTCCTCGCTGCCTGTGAGCAGTTCAGCAGTGTCCAGAGTGTAGTCTCCTGTTTGTCTACCGCCGACCACGATGATGCCAACATTTGGAATGTTGACTGCCGCACTTTCGAATCGTGATGTGGGCATATCCGGAAGTCGTGTCCACCTTTAAGCAGGGAGAAGCGTTTTTAAGCACTGCTGCTGTATCAAAAGGTGTATTTTGTTTTAACGCACACGAATTCTCAAAAGAAATACCCTATTTAGTGTCGCTGTATACAGCTCACTCCCATGGTATTCGAAATGTTTTTTACTTGTTTTCCATATCCTTATACAAATTAGTAAAATGACGCAAAGTATTTTTCGCTATCATAAAAAAGCATCTGATAAAAATCGTCAGATTTGCATGATGAAACCTGCCTGTTTGCCAATATGTCAAACCGTTCACAAGACGACAATGCTGTCTGGTGGCAAAATCCTCCGAAGACGAGAATTTGTGTGTCTTTTGTTGCTGCAGCAGCCTTTAATCGTGCTTGTTTCATTGAAGGTGCTTTAACGATGGACCTGGTGAAGGGCTTCATAATGTTAACGAGGCTGGTAGGTCGATCGTTGACGTTCACACCACCAATCATGTAAATGCAGTCTATCCAACAAAGAGAGTTTGAGCGTCGTGGCGATTTCCCACAGCTTCCAAATATAAAATTGTGCGAACTCACCGTTAAACACGGCACTTGTCCAGTCCATGTGTGGTGTCATATCGTAGGCAGATGTTGCGTGTTTCCGTTGAGCTGGCATTATTTCAGTGACGACGAAGTCCTCTGGCGATGAGTCAAGCGAGTAAGCGAAAAGGTGTTCAGCAAATCGCCTCCTTGTTTAAACACAAAAATGATTTAATAGACTCCAAATGGTTTTTT